ACTTGGTTGGCCTTTGAAAAGAGGGGTGGCGAGGCTAAACATGTTGCGAGTTCCTCGAAAGTGGCTTGTTGTTCATCTGTCTACTGGAAATTGACATTCTGAGCACCTCTCAACGCCTTGAAGAATGGTAGGTACTCTAGAGTGAGCCAAGAAGTCAGACATGGCGACTATGCGATCGTTCAAGCGTTGCATTTTCTTGATGTTTCTTGGGGATATCATTTATCTCTAAGGCGCATGTTGTAACGACGAAGAAATTGGAAGCACTTTTCTAGATGAGAGATATGCTAGGATGCTTCAAAGTATTTTACTAGCATATTTTATTTAAAGTTTTGGTGGTTCTAATGTTATATTTAATATTTTGGGTGGTTGATGTGTAAAAATCCCAATAATATTTCGAGTGATAAAAACATAAAGAGTATTTTACATACCGAGCACACTAAGGGGTTATTTGGTTTATAGAAGAATGAATGCAATGTAAAATAGTATTGCAGAATGCTCTGCTTGCAATGTATTTTGAATATTAAAAAAATGTTTGGTTGTTTTTGAAATAAATAAAATGAAACTTTTTTTGTGTTTGGTTAGATGCATGCTAAATAAATTAAAAACACTATCCTCTTAATATTTGTGAGTTGTTTGATTGCGTGCAAATAGAATATAGAAATTTTAATTTTCTCTTTAAAATATTATATAGTTTTTATAAATCATATATATTTATTTTATTTATGTAATATTTCATAATAAAAATAAATTAAAATATATACATGAGAAAGTATAATTAATATTTTGAGAAATTATTACTATTCTCTATTTACATGCATTGTGAATATTTAATATTTAATAATAAAAAGTTATAAGTTGCGTCCCACCATGAGCCAAATGATATGCTTGAAGAGTTTGAGTGCATGGAATAATTATTATGTCCGAACTTAGACATAGAGATATGTCCGAAGTCCAATGAATCACCTTTAACTGGAGCTGACAAGAAAAAAAAAACTAGTTTTCTTGTGATCCGACCCGGTAACAT